CCGTTTCCCTAGGGTCTCCCTTTCCAGTACTCCTCCCTCCACAGGGACTGCAGCCTGACAGTGCCTGTGGAGGGTCCCAACAGTCGACTTTCCCATGCTGAACTGGTTGCTCATGAGCCAGTAACTGTCTGGTGCTGCGAGTTTCCAGATGGCGATGGCAACCCGCTTCTCCACGGGGGTGATGGGCCGCATCTGGGTGTCCCATTGTCAGAGGGCAGAGGTAAACCAGGCACACAGATCCATGAATGTCTCCTTCCTCATACAGAAGTTGTGGAACCACTGCTGGCTGTCCCACCGCTCCATCACCAGCCGGTCTCACCAATCGGAACTGGTGTCCAGATTCCAGAAGTGTTGCTCCTCCGTGGGGTGCAGTTGCAAGGGCATTGCTCCCACACACAGGCAGAGGTTCTCAAAGATCAGCTTGGAGTCAAACTCATGCAGGACCATGAAGACAGCCTTCAGAAACAGCTGCAGAAACTGCACCATCGGAGTGTGGGGCCATCGAATGCCCAGAGGCTGCTCCAGCTCCGTGGCAAGGAGTGCTGTGGTGTCCAAAGGCAGAGGGGTCCCTGTAAGCACACGTCTCAGATAGCCTCAAGCAGCAGCTATCAGAAGCAACTGCTGACCAAATGCCCTGTCTGATCTGGTTCTGGGCGGCCTTAATTGTGACATAGTGTCTACAATGATTGGACACTATCTTTCAAAAGAGCACATCGATATTTTGTTGCTATTTTTGTAAGCAGACACTCTATTTTGAAATAAGCTTTTCCAGAAGATCTCTTCCAGAAAAGCTTATTCCAAAAGAAGCTTGCAGTGTAGACGAACCCTCGTGCCCTGTCTGATCTGGTTCTGGGCGGCCTTAATTGTGACATAGTGTCTACAATGATTGGACACTATCTTTCAAAAGAGCACATCGATATTTTGTTGCTATTTTTGTAAGCAGACACTCTATTTTGAAATAAGCTTTTCCAGAAGATCTCTTCCAGAAAAGCTTATTCCAAAAGAAGCTTGCAGTGTAGACGAACCCTCGGAGATATAGCACGAGCCACCCGAGGAGTTAATTCTCCGAGGGAAAGAATAGAAGCAATTTGTGCAATTAGGGCATGGTGGGACACTAGAATTAAGGATTTTTTTTGAACATTTTAAGCCCATTTCTTTACCAAACCTCTGGTGAGGCTTAGGGTTGCCAACTTTCTAATTTCACAAACTGTACTCCTCTCCCCTACCCCTTCTTGAGGCTCCTTCCCTTCCCCAAGACCTGCCCCTTCTGCAACACTCAGCCCTGCTCGCTTCATTACCCTGCTCTCCATCGCTTACTCTCCTCCCCCCCTCACTCATTGTTACTAGGCTGAGGGTGCAGGCTCTGGGGCGGGTGCAGGGATGAGGCCTTGGGGTGTACGAGGGGGTTCCAGGCTGGGGGAGAGAGCTAGAGTGCAAGGGTGAGAAGAGTCCCTTGTGTGTAATGGGTCCCTGCTTTGGAACTAAGCATGAAGAGTTTGGGGTGCAGAAGGGAGATAAGGACTGGGAGAAGGTTGGGGGGTGGGAATATGGATTCCAGGGGGCAGTTTAGGTGCAGGAGAGGAGTCCAGGCTGGGGTAGGAATGGGTGTGGGTCCCCAGAGGTGCTTACTTGTGGCCGCCTCCTGGGAGCCACAGATCCCCAAAGCTCCTACGTGTATTGGGTAGGTGGCCCAGGAGGCTCTGCATGCTTCCCTTGTGCCCATAGGCACCACCTCTTCAGCTCCCATTGGCTGTGATTCCTGGCCAATGGGAGCTGCAGAGTCAGCACTGGGGTGGAAGCAGTGCGCGAGCCTCCCTGCACCTAGGGGCCATGGGGACCTGGAAGCCACTTCTGGGAGTCACGTGGAGCTAGGAGAGGTGGGAAACTTGCCTTGTCTCCAGCCCCAGCTGCACTGCCAATTGGACTTTTGGTGGGTAGTGCCAATTGGAGCTGCCAGGGGTCTGTTTTCGACTGGATGTTCCATTAAAAAATCAGAGGCCTAGCAAACCTAGTAAGACTTTTCTTGAGACATAACTACTAGAAATTGTCTATTGTAAATCAAAATCGGGGGGGAAGATTTAAAATTATTTTTTCTGTCATATTTACACATAGTACATTAATATGGTGTATAAGTGGCTGACTATGGAGGACATGGACATACATTCATCTAGCCTATTTAATTACCCCTGTGTTAGGGTGCCACCTGGTGTTCTGGGTAATGGATGTTGTCACTCAACCTGTGTGCTTCATTTAGTTATGTCAGGGCCGGGGCTGGAGGGCCAGATTCGTAAAGCTATATAAGCACCTAAAGTTGCAGATAGGCACCTTCTGGGATTTTCCCTAGACACCCAACTCCCATTGATTTTTAACATAGCGGACAGGCAAGCCAGCTCATCAGGGTTTCAGTGCCTCTGTTGCTATGTGGACTGACATTCTACTGGACTGAACAACCTGGGGATACCTGGTCATCAGCTGTTTATGACAGGAGTGCTGATCTTTTGTTTCCCCCAGTGGGTACTCCATAGTCCAGGTTCACCCTATCTTTGTGGTGCTCCTAGAGCAGTGTTTCTTAAACTGTGTTCCATGGCACACTGGTGTGCCGTAAAGCAGTTGGAGGTGTGCCGTGGAGAACAACAGCGTTCAAAATGGCCACCCTTAAAGGAGTAGGTGACCTTTTCTTTCCTCAATAACTTTTCCCAGACACTTTTTTTCCTCAATAACTCCCCCCCCCACACACACCTTTTTGTTTTGCGCTTAACAAAAAATCCTTGGTGTTCCTCATAAAAAAAATATATTATTGTTTGGTGTTCCTCAGTCTTAAAAAGTTTAAGAAACACTGTCCTATAGAGAGGCCCCACAAAGTCAGATTATGACATGGCTGTTTTCAAGTCATAATCTGAAGAAGTTCCAAAAGAAGTTCTTACCAGTGCAGTTGGGAGTGTCCATGAGCTGGGAAAATCAGGTGCAGCTGAACCTAGAGTGCTCCAAAGCTGAAATGAGGCTGGCTTGGCTACTTTTATACTGGAGAGCAGAGTGAGAAGATCTCTGTTTCTATGCAGGTATGCATGCCTGCCTGGATGCTACTAGCCGAAAAACTGTGTCGTGTTAACAGAGTTCTGTCTGTGAAAACTTTTTTTTAATTACATTGCACATTCCCTGAGATTATGGTGGATTTTTTGTGTGGGTTTTTTTTTTTGGTTGAATAAAAGCCCTGTAAAATAACCCTGAAAGTGCACATAGCTTAATTTTGATATTTAATTTACTTTAATTTACTTTATCTGATAGGCGTCCTACCAATAAATGAAAACAATTTAAACATTCATGAAGCATGGAATCTGACCCCACCCCATTGCCTTTCTTGGAGGCTTTAGAAACTGAGCTTCAGGGGTTCTCAATCAATGGGTCATGATCCCTAATGGGGTTGTTTGGGCTGGTTTCGGCTTGGTGAGGCACGAGGCTAAAGCATGACACCACCACTATGGTTGCTAGGTTTCGTTGGATGAATTCCTGAGCATTTCATCACATGCCATAACTTTAACTGAAGATTAATCTTTAATTCCTGGAGCCTCCAGGCCAATCCTGGAATTTTGGCAATCCTACCCACTGCCTGGGCTTCAGGCCTGGCTGGTGGGGCTCTTAGGCCTTCTGCTTGGTGCTGTAGCTCTTGGGCACCTTATAGACTAACTGAAGTGTAGGAGCTGTAGCTTTGCCTCTCTCCTCCCTCCCCCCAGCCCAGAGAGGAAAGAGTTGAGTGAACTCCAATGTTGGTTCCCCTTCCTGGGACCATTTAGTAATGTTTGTTGTCAGAAGGGGATTGCGATGCAATGAAGTTTGAAAACCCGGGGATGTTACTCATTTCCCTGTCCTTTTGTTTTTTTTAGGGATTTGACCTAATGTACTCAGCCTAAATTTTCCCTCTCTACTGTGAGTACTGTGGGAGGGGGTTGTTTAACTCTCTCTAGAGCAAAGATAGCTGCATTTCATTGTACAGACACATGCAGACACAGAGAGAAGGCTTTTAAGATCTTACTAGATTAAAAGTACTTTACAAAGAAAGAATGGGGGGACCCATTTGGTCTGGTCTCCCCGGCTCACTAGAGCTGCCTAGAGCCTGGAATTCCTGTTCTGTGGGAAATTTAAAAAAGTGGGAATTTTTTTCTTTCTGCATCAGAATAAAAACTCTAAATTTCAATATTCCCTGTGGAATGAGGGATTCTGAAATGGGAGTTGGAAAAAAAGCAACCCCCCCCCCCAAACCAAACCAACTAACCAACCAAACCCCCTGACCCCTTTTCTGATGATTCTTTTGAAATGTTTCCCAGGCTCCCAAGATGCCTAGCTTGTGGGATTTTTCTGATGATTCTTTTGAAATGTTTCCCAGGCTTCCAAGATGCCTAGCTGGTGAGGCGTGGAGAAGCCAAGAGCCTGCAAGTACACAGAGTGAGGCATGAAGGGTACATCTGCACAGCAAGTGTCATCCTCCAGAAATGAGCCTCCAGTGAGTCTATGACCCGGCGCATAGACTTTTGCTAAAAATAGCTGCATAGATATTTGGGCTGAGGTGTAGGTAGGAGTTGGGATTCTGAAGCCCAGCCCCTCCCCAAGCTGTCCCAGTTCCACTGGCAGCTCACCAGGTGGGCTGTGTTGGAGAGAGCTGAGATTTCAGGAAGCCAGGCAGATTTCCCTCAGAAACCTGCCTGCTTGCTGTCCAAATGTTGATGAAAACAAGATGGTTCTGCAGAGCATTTCAGTTTTGACAAACCAGCATTTCACAATTGAAAAACAAAATTCATCTGGAAAATGTCCTACCACCTCACCTGATCAATAGAGCTGCACAATAAATCTCCTTATTTACAGTCATCCAGTGCACTCATCACACTCTATGGTAGTGGGAGGAGGCTGGGAGGTGCCACCCTTCCTTGCAGAGATGAGATGGGTGGAGCTCTAGGTCAATTTATAAAACAACTTCTCATGACTCCTACCAGTGCAAAGACTGCAAGATGTCTCAGGAGCCATTGCCAGCTCACGTGCCAGTAGTAACATATGACTTGCATACAGCAGAGACCAAAACGGCATCATGTGCCATTTCACCTCAGGTAAGAAGCCCTAGCAACAAATTCATTTAAGGTTTCAGTTCAGATGCATTGAGCACAAAGCAGGCAATACAAGTCCTGCTTTAGTATAGTATTTATGTACCAGCTGCTGTGCATGATTCTTTCCAGTGAGCAGTGGAGGGGAATACTGAATTTAAGATACTGTAAATCAGAGGACTTCAAAACCATACTTGTTTAGCTGGAAGAAGGGAAGATTGGGACATACTGGCATATCCATTTAAATGGACAGCTAGGGATAGCAACAGTTCAAGTTTTATAGGTGAAACTCTCCAATATATGCAGCTTGAAACATTTTATTTCATTTTGAGAATTTTAAAATTGATCTCTGTATTACTCTTTGCATTTGATTTGATGCATAGAAAACATACCCTCTCTAGTTATCATTACTTATAAAAGGAGGAATTTCTACTTTAAAATATTTCTTGTTATTGAGTCTGAGCTACAGTCAGCAGTGTGTAAGTAAATGCTGCTTCATCAACTTGAGTAGAGTCGCTTTTGATCACGTCTATTATTTTCATGACATTATTATAGGTCTTTTGGGTGATTAAACCTTGACATCCAGGATCCTCAGCACTGCTGGAAGGCAAATTCAGAGAGAGGAAGGAACTTTGGATACATCAGTGTTGCTTGTTGGAGTCCTAGGAAGTCAGTGACCTATTTTTGTGCTTAGATGTCAGTGACATTGGTGAGAGTTCTGGGGTGTGATTCTCAGACTGAGGAGACATATTCACACTGTCTCTAATTAATCTAATGCACTAAAAATAGAGTATAGCTGTCACAGTGCAAGAGGCAGGAGGGACTAGATAAGCATGTGCCTAGCACCTTGGACAGACATACTTGGGGCAGCTAGCCCATGCCACTGCAGCTACACTTATTTTCAGCACACATGCTTGGTCAGAACTAGCACTAGTATGTCTTCTTAAACAGGGAATCACACCCCAGCTCAAAGTGTAGACATACCTTTTATTACACTGATTGCTGTCTGTGCAGTAACGCTGTAGTCAGCTCAAAACTAAAAAGGGTGGATTTAAACAAAGATCTAACTCAGGTTCAGCAAAGGTGTTCCAAATAGAACATGACCGAGAACCCTGGAAATCTATGGGCATTTTGTTTCCACATTCTATGCAGTTTGTTCAAAATTACATTAATCAATTGCTACAGTTTAAGACAGACATTTTTACCAGGTCTTTGCAAGTGTAGTGCAAAGGATAAATAGAAGGATAATTAACCACTGGAACAAATTACCAAAGGATGTGGTGGATTTCCCACCAATTGAAACCTTTAAATCAAGATTGAATTAAGGATGTTAAGGACTAGTCGACTATCTGATAAGCAAATGCTTATTGGATAGTAGAGTCGACTAGTTGCTTCTATTAGATAGAGGCGACAAAGGAGGCAGGGGGAAGAGTGGGTACTTCAAAACGGCAGATCCACATTGAGCCCAGGGTATGGGCTCCTTGCAGAACTGCCGCTTTGAAATGCCATGGCGGCATTTCAAAGGGGCAGTGCCGCACAGCTGATCCTGGGCTCAGTGTGGCACTGCTGCTTTGAAATGCTGCATGGAGCCTGGCATCAGCTGGGGAGTCCCCAAATGACCCTGGCTCTGTGCAGGATTTCAAAGCAGCAGTGCCGCATGGAGCCTGGGGTCAGCGGGGGACTCCGAGTCCCTTGCTGACCCCAGGCTCCAGGCAGGTGCTTCTGCTTTGAAATGCTGCACAGAGCCAGGGTCATCTGGGGACTCTTGTAACATTTCAAAGCTGGCACGCCGCGTACAGACTGAGGCCAGCAGGAAGGCCTGCTAACTCAGGGCTCTGCTTGGGCGCTTCCGCTTTGACATGAACAAGAGCCCCCAGGATCCTGGAGTCAGTGGGACTTCCTGCTGGCCCAGGCTGTACATGGAGTTCCAACTTTGAAATGCACAAGAGCCCTGTTAGGGCTCTTGTACATTTCAAAGGAGGAACTCTGAAGTGCCTATCGACTAGTTAAGTAGTCGATGAAAATGCCATTGACTACTCGACTAGTAAATTAATCAATATTTAACATCCTTAGATTGAATGTCTTTCTAAAATATATGCTATAGTTTTTACATAAGTTATTGGGCTTGATTGGGGGCCACACAATACAATTCTGTGGACTGCAATGGAGAAAGTCAAAATAGACCTTCTCCATAGTAGACCTAAACCAGATGCAAATAATTTAGAATTAAATTGATACCCCCAAATTTGTAATGTGGACTATAATGGATACCTAGGATCTCTGCCAATGCAAGAATGGCCTTGTCAGGCCTCTGCAAGCCCTGCTTGCTCTTACCTGGTTAACAAAAGGCACCCTCCAGTGATCTAAGTGTCTCCCTGGAATACTGAGCCCCAGATCCTTTGGACCCTCTCAGAATTCTCAGATCCTCTGTTCCCAAAGGAATAGTCCATTGCAACTTAGTTACTAGTGACTCTGAAGAACCAAGCTCTACTTAATACACACTATCTAGACCTGTTTATAAAGAAAGCAAATATTAAGTTTATTTAACAAAGAGAAGTATTGAAATGAGAGCAAATAAAAATCTGAGAAACAAAGGGTTATATATAAAATAAAACCGTAAGATGCTTATCTGAGCCTGAACTTAACTAACAAGACACTGTCATGTCACACAGAGTCAAAGCTCACCCAAAATCCATCCAGTGTGTTACAGTCAGGCTTCTGTTCATGAGACTCACAAGTTGTCCTCTTGACTCCTCAGTGGAAAGTTCCAGTTTTTCTCTGCCTCTACAATGTTGGTCCAAAAATCCAGTGTCTGCTTGCTAGCAGAATAACTCCCCATTGCTTGAATTTTCCTGGCTAGGATTTCCCCTGCAATCACTTGATTAGCATTTGTCTCTGTAACCAGGTATTCCTTCTGAGTATGCAATACTTAATGTACTTGTAGGTAGATTGGTAGATAAACATCTGGCTGAGAGGAACCTGTTTCTAAATGGTGACCAGCCCAAGTCACAGATTTTAAAAATGTAATTTTCAATACATATTCATAACTTGCTACATATTATCCATATGCCTACCAGAACTTGGGGCTTCTTGTAATCATTATGTACCAACTGTCCCCTGTCAATTGGCAGCAAGAGATCGCTGGGTCACATGGCCATCTGCCATTTAAGGTATCCAAAATATCCTAACTCTGTGCTTCTAGAGATCCCTTCTACTATCTTTACTTCTTTGCAGCTAGAGCAGGGGCAGGAAAAAGGGCCTTCTCGGGCCCGAACCCTAGCAGTTAACTCGAAGCACCGCATGCTCCTTGCAGGACAGGGACAGGGCTGGAGGAGACTTCCCCCTGATTGGCCTGGGACCAGGGAACCGCATAAAGTCTTCCCCCACTCTGCAATGGGCTCAGCACTTTGAGTCAACTGCTATTCTCTCTGGGGTTCGGGATGGGAGCAAAGACTTCATGTGCACTCCCACCAACAGACCTATCAGGATCTGTGGGCAGAAAAGCCTGGAAATGTCCTGGCTCCACCCCTTCTTCTTGAGGCCCTGCTGCTTCCCTCGAGCTACTTCAAAAATTTCTGAAGGTCAAAAATTATGGCCCTCCCCTGAACCAGAGTGTTATAAGTGTGCACTACAAAACATAGTTGTATGATTAGTTTTGTGAATTAGTTTCTATAGGTATGTCTATGTGATGAGCTAGGGATGTGAGTCCCAGCTGATGTAGACACATTTGTGCTAGCTCTCAGCTGAGCTGTTGTGCTAAAAATAGTGGTGTAGCCACCTGGCACATACCAAATATGTACCCACAGGGTTTAGGTGGATTTGAACATGGGGCAGCTATCTTGTGCTGCTGCTGCATGCACCTTTGCTACTGCAGCCAAACTCTTATTTTTAGTAGTGATAGAGATGCAGCCGTGTTAGTCTGGTCTAGCTGCAACAAAAGACAAGACTATGTAGCACTTTAACGACTAACAAAATGGCTTATTAGGTGTCCCACAAAAGCTCATCACCTAATAAACCATCTTGTTAGCCTTTAAAGTGCTACATAGTTCTGTCTCTTATTTTTAGTGTGCTAGTTCAGATGAGGAGCTTGCTTAGGAATGTGTAGGTCAGTTGGGAATCTCATGCCTACCTCATAGGGCAGTCACAGCTTCTTATATGCAGGCCTTGCCTACATGAGAGAAGTGCATTGGTTCAACCCACATAGTTTTTATACCAGTTGGCTGTGTCTAGACTGTTTAACTCGAACAGAAAATCAGCCGCTTTTCCAGAAGAACTTGCCAGCTGTCTACACTGGCCGCTTGAATTTCCGCAAAAGCACTGACTTCCCACTGTAAGAAATCAGTGCTTTTTGCGGAAATACTACGTTGCTCCCGTTCGGGCAAAAGTCCCTTTTGCGCAAAACTTTTGCGTAAAAGGGCCAGTGTAGACAGCGGAGATTTGTTTTGCGCAAAAAAGCCCCGATTGCGAAAATGGCGATCGGGGCTTTTTTGCACAAAAGCGTGTCTAGATTGGCCACGGACGCTTTTCCGCAAAAAGTGCTTTTGCGGAAAAGTGTCCGTGCCAATCTAGATGCTCTGTTCTGAAAATGCTTTTAACGGAAAACTTTTCCGTTAAAAGCATTTCCGGAAAATCATGCCAGTCTAGATGTAGCCATGTAGTTGATCAGATACAAAAGGCAATATGGACGTTCTTTCAGGTTGAATGGCTTGTTTTAGTCGGGCAATTCATGATCAACCTAAGCTAAAGTAAATGAAGATCCATTTAAACAGATGGAACAAAAGTCACAAAGCCTTTTGTGCCAATTTAAGATACGCCTTAACTTAAACTGATGCCACTTTCTCAAATAGACAACTTACGCTTTAAACATGATGCATTGTCACTGTACTAAACTTTCTATGTATATGCTGTAATCTCTTGATCTGAATTTAGGTGGTTTGTACATGTTAGCTCTGTGTATCATGTCACTTGGATATGACAAAGGGAATATCCTGATAGCACTGCAAAGAGTGCCCTTATATCCTTATATGACCAGGCACTAAGTGAGTGTGGAGAAGAATTGCATGTACTATGCTTCTTCATTTGATAAGACATATGTAATTTTAAAAATATCTGGTGAACCCTCAGTTTTTAGCATGCCGTAATCAAGACTCTCTTTCAAGGGCACCATTTTGGGAGAGCAGGGAGGGCAGCAGCTGTGTATACTGGGACACTGCTTGCTTTTCTTCCCAGTCCCCTATCAGGGAGTGAGGGGAAAGTACATGGCTTGTGTGCATGCCTCGCACACCTAGCTGGTGTGTGGAGGAGCAGAGAAGTAAATCTATGTAGTTTCCCCTCACTCCCTGATAGTCAGGGGAACAGGAAGAAAAGCAAGCTGTCCTGGTACACATGGCTGCTGCCTCCTCCCTTCTGCTATCCCAAAAGGGCGCCCTTGATTCTTGCCCAGTTTGTATCCAATTGGGTAGAAATAGTCATCTGAATCTGATGACAGGTTTAGAGTTTGTTGTTGAAGAACCAGACACAATTATCTGCTTTTGTGACCTCTAGAGTAAGTCATTGCAGTGTGGAATCTGATGACAGGTTTAGAGTTTGTTCTTGAAGAACCAGACACAATTATCTGCCTTTGTGACCTCTAGACTAAGTCATTGCAGTGTGTTCTTCTGTGGTGCGCTACATTTGAGGAACACCTATATTTTTTGCCTCTTTAAGCTTCTGTCTTCTCTTTACCCTTCTCTCAACTATAAGCTTGCATGACTGAGTGCATCTGCTTGCCTGTTACACAGAATCACGGTATGGAGCCATATTATCCATTTTCCAGGATCGGCATGGGCTTCCTATTGACTCCTGGGCACAATTCATGGTGCTAACTTTGACCTTTAATAAAGATGTATATTTGGTTCCTGACCATTTCTCTCCCTATATACTCAGTAGCAATAAAGTTCAGCAGTGGCATTCAGGGCAACAGCCCCTAGATTTAAACAGTTGAATAGTTGTGGAAGGACTTTCATGGTGGAGGGTCCTTTAGAAGAGAATTTCTTTTCCCCCTTTGTGCAACAAACTCTAGTCTGTTGGCCTTTAGCATATTGCGCAAAGCTCTCCTTTTTGGTCACAGCTATTTTGCTCAGGAAAGAGGGATTTTTTTGGGGGGGGGTCTTGCCTATTATTTTTGCTAAAATGTATGTATTGAGCATAGTTTTCATTAGATTTTATCCATTTAATAGACTAAATTTGGAATGGGCTCATACCTAGTTAAATAGTACTGTACAGCATTTGTGTGCAAATTCTAACATGTGCCTGTGTGTACTTAGCTGTCAGATTGGCTTTAGTACATGGAGTGTTTCTTGCATCTACCATATTCAGGATTATATGCTTGTGCACATTATTTTCCAGGCACTCAAATGCAGATGGCTTGACAAGCTGTAGTAAATCACTAAAAAATGTTTCTATTTTATCTCAAGTGCAGCTTAGATTTGATGACAAGATCATTCAAGTAGTATACATAGCTTCCTTGTTCTTTCCACTACAGAATTCTGTTTGGGAGCCTCCAAATTTTGACACCATCGTTAAAGCCTATGTATAAAAGAAAGCTCTTCTATTTGTTACCAATAAGTAGAGCCCTGCAAATCCATGGATATCTGCTTTATATCAGCAGCTCATTTTGTGGAATTAATCACAGAGGGATTCTGGAATCATCCTATTAAGCTAGAAGAACTTTTTATATCGAGGGTTCTAGAGCACCGCAGGCTATATTATGAGCAGCAGTTACCTTTCTTCCTTCTCATTGTCTTATTGTTGTTCATTTAGGGTACATCTACACAGCACCGCTATTTTGGAATAATTGACATTATTCCGAAATAACAGTGCATGTGTACACCACAAGCCTTTATTTTGAAATAATGTCAAGCTGCAGGACTTCTTACACTGATTCATGGTAACCCTCATTTCACAAGGAGTAAGAAAGTCTAAGTAAGAGTGTTCTTTCTTCGACTTCCTGCAGTGTAGACAGCACCAAAAGTCATGTTAAGCTATTTCGACATCAGCTATGCAACTGATATAGCTGCAGTTGCGTAGCTTAATTCAACTTTAGACCTGCTGTGTAGATGTACCCTTAATGATTAAAGCCTGAACAGGGAGTGCATGGACTACAGAGTTCCCTGCTATAGTACACCTGATGGAGCCTATGGCCCTGTTTCTCAGTATATGTCTACAGCAGAGGGGATTCAATCCCATCTCTCAGCTCATGCCACTGCAGTTATACTTCTGTTTTTAGAGTGGTAGCTTGGTGAGAGCTACTGTGGGTGTATCTGCTTGCACTTGAACTTATATCTTTAGATTGGCATAATTGTTATGATAAGCAAGGTTAAACTTGGTGGCTTTGAGTTTCATTTGGATAGTCTGGTTTGGTTTGCATTTAAAAGTCACACCGAAATTCAAGCAGTACAAACCCACGTGACTCAAAATTCTCACAAACCTCTGTACACTCACTGCTGAGTTTAGCTCAGGTCTACAATGCAGTTATAACAAATTGCTTCAAAGCAATAAATGCATCATGGTGAGTAGCACCACATAGATATCTGAGCATTTAACTTGAGGTTATTAGCAACCTAGGAATAAGTTTTGACCTCTAGAAGGCAACACATTAAAAAGCTTTGCTGAGAATACCTTGCAATTTTCTGACTCCTATATCTGCAAAGACCAAACCCTGTGTTCTGTAATTTTTCTTTCTTCTAAAAATGCTGTGAAAAAACCCTAACCTCACTAGTAAGCCCTGATTTTTTTTTCAGAAAAACAGTTGCACTTCTGTTAACAATAAATAAATAAAGGGATACATTAATAATTCTTGATAATGATCCCTGATTTTGTGAATCTCTATATATTTTTTCCGATATCAGTATGGAAAATGATTGATGATGAACATATTTTCACTGAACATTTTATTGTCATATAGTACCAGATTAAGTTCTTCATTTGTTAGCTATTGTTTCTTTAAATTTAACTTTTGTCTTTCATATATAATTCTTCTGCAGATGGAATTATCTCCTTTTTACTTGCTCACTGTAAGAATAATACGAATGAGAAATCTCCGTCGAGCAGATGCGTGTGAGTGTCTGTTCTCTTCCCCAAAACTGTTCTTGATTCTGAAAGTAAGCAGTACACAACTGAGCACTGCAAACACGATAAGTTTTAAAAAGTAATTAATATTAAAGGTTGAACTTCTCCAGTCCGGCACCCTTAGGACCTGACCAGTGCCGAACCAGAGAATTTGCTGGATCACAGAAGGATTTTCTAGCAGCATGATCACACTTCCACTGCTTATTGGACTGTTAGAGGACATTTAGGGTATGTCTAGACTACAGGGTTTTGTTGACAAAGTGGACTTTTGTCGACAGAACTATACCGGCATCTACACTACTGCCGAGTTCTGTCAACATAATGTCGACAGAACTCAGCAGTTTTGTCGACGGCGGTAAACCTCATTCTACGAGGAATAACACCTTTTGCCGACAGAGTTCTGTTGGCAGAAGGCGTTATTGCATCTACGCTGTCCTCTGCGGCTACACTGTCATGTCAACAAAGCAGCTTGCTTTGTCGACAGAACTGGATATAGTCTAGACGCTCTTTGTCGACAGAAGCTTTGTCGACAGTATCTGTCAACAAAACTTCTGACAACAAAAACCTGTAGTCTAGGCATACCCTTGGGGGTAAATCAGAGCTAAATAACAGCACAAACACTGAGAGCCAGGACAGGTATCTGAAAACAAACTTTATGGGACCGCAGGAAACTTGGCCACACCGATGATATGTGGACATCCAGCTAACTAAAATCATGCCAGACAAGAGAGTGCTGAACTAGAGAGGTTCAACCTGTACTAAGCAAACATAAACAGCTACAGTATTGCAGTATAGTTGATTATCAGAGTATTACATGAGAACTAGTAGTTATGTTATTGTGCAAGTATTTGACCTTCCATGTGTAGCAAGAAAAACAACATATTGTTCAAAATAAATTAAGATGTGTATCAAGGAGCAAGAATGAAAAAGTACCAGTTTTTCTTTTACATGTATATCAATATCATATGCCACATGTTTCTGAAATAATCCAGCATCTCATATAAATAAAACATGATGGGACAGGTGCATTTTTGTTATTTCATTGAAAAAAATGGAGCTACACCCGGGTTGAGATTGCTTTAATTGGTTTGAAAGACAAATGTTCCTGTATTGTCTTCCACTGACAAAGCAGTTTCTAGAGTGCATTGAGATATTAGCCTATGCGTTTTGGATAATCTGAATGTTAAAAAAGTAGTATTTTCATGGCCATCTGATAGCCTATTTTTCTCCAGTACACCTAAGAAAATCATGTTGACCCTTGAGTTTAGATTCATGTTATGGAATTTGAAAAGATATTTATTTACTTAGGAGCATGCTTGCTTACTTTGAAATCCAGTGAGACAGCTCTTTTCTTGAATTTGAGACTTTAAAAAAAATGCATTGGACTCTTAGGTCAAAATAAAATATCCATATAAAACATAAAGGGCCTGGTCCAATGCCTATTAAAATCAATGGGAGTCTTTCCATTTATTCCATTTGGGCATTGGATCAGGCCCAAAGTTTGTTTTGTCACCTGTTTATTTCAGCTGACCACTTCAAGCTTGTGATATCAATAGTTTGCTCCTCCTCCTCCATGCACGGGGATGAGGGAGTGGGGGAGGATGGAGCCAGCAGGGGAAAGGAGCTGTCTGGCAGTCACTGGGTAAAGAAGGATGTGCCCAGAATTTCTCTGGGAAGTGGGTGGGTGGAGAAGGTGCTTGGCACTGACTGAGAGAGCCTGAAAGAGGGGAGGGTGTGTTGAAAGGAGGATGGAGCTGAATGGGGTGCTAGGTGGTAGAGAGGCAGATGGGGAAGCAAACAGGGTTGGGGATACATTGTCAGGAGGTACTTCCAGGTACAGTTTCTTGTGCTCAGTGACCCGGCGTTGCCATGCTTGGTGATCAGCCTGTCTCAGTGACTTGTACTGTGCAGCTGCAAGTGAGCACACAATTTGGGTTGAAAGGGGCTGTCCGTAAATTACGTAATGCATTCGAGTGGTAGGTCCTCAATGTCCCATACTTGTTTCAGTGTTACTAAGTCTTACAAGGCAGTGGGTGGGACTTGAAAAGTCCCCCACAGTATATTATGTAGTTTATGGCACCCCTCAAACCTGAAAAATCCCAAGCCTGGGAGTTTTTGGTTCCAACGGAAAAGTAAGAGCCTTATATATTTTATTGGCAGCTTGATGGTAGTGTTAGAAAGTTACAATTTAAATACAGCTGTGAGACAGCATTGTATTTGTGGCACAGGGATCATGATAAGGGTTTGTCTTTTATCAGTTTCCTGTGAGTTACTGGGTCACTCTACTTTGCTGCAACTGCACTGGACCTATAAAGGACTCTATCATTCTAAGTACTCTGAAAAGCCAGCCCCTGGGCATTTCAAATCTGGCATCTAGTTAGGACACCTGTATTTTACTGTCACTGTGCCATCTGTAAAACAACATCCCTTAAGCACATAGAAACAATATTAGAATGAATGAATTCAATTTTGTAAAGCACTCAGACTACACAGAGGTGTCAGGGGTTCTATGGGGAAATAATATGTGATCATGAAATTAACGATTGTGTCATAATGCATATGCACACGGGAAGTGAATTAAGGTAAAGACCTGCAGCTGAGAACCTGAGATGCATGTATCAGTTACTGTAATTTCAGACTTTAAATAAATATAACTTAATTTTAGTGCAGTGCACTAATTGTTTGTGCCATTTAAGACAGGGAGTATTGATATATTAACATATAAGCTGTACCTCTTTTTATATAGTAAGTCATTCTGATTGCTATGTCAGCCTATGGTTACCAACAGCTGCATGTGAAAAGATTCATACCAAAGCTGTCAATGACTGCAAGAACCCAGTGTGGAATGAAACCTTCTTCTTCAGGATCCAGAGTCAGATCAAGGTAAGAAACTGAGAATTCCCCTCTTTTGACAGCCTGGAGATCTGTAGCCTTTTAGGCAGATGTAGGATTTTCAAATCTTCAACAACCTGCAGTCTAACATCTCAGATAATTAAAAATACATCCAATAAAAATCTTCATATTTGATAAGTATGATTGGAAAATTTGTGTTTAAGTATCACCTACTTTAATTTCATTATTAATTAAGAAATGTATTTTTCTGAGTTAATGGAAACAACACAGGTAACCAGGAGGTACAAATTTCAGGCATAGTCTAAAACTCTTTTACCGTACAACCCCATACACAGGCACTGAATGACAGCATGCTCTGCGTAAACTAGGAGGAAACACTGTATCATCAGAATAAATTCGTATTGGCTGATCAATGAATGCTGGTAAATATTTCAGAATGTTGCCCCCACAGGAAATTCTCATATTCTGAAATTTATTTTCATTCCAAATAGGGGAAAAATCAAAATGTTGACTTTCTTTTTGTGTCATAGAAAATTCCAAAAAGCCCTTAATTTGGAAATGTTAAAATAAAACATTTGGACAATCCCATAGGAAAAAGTCTCATTTCAGTTTGTTGAATAAAATAAAAACATTTTGCTTTAGCTTGGCTCAGCATTAATCTGTGTCCCTCTGAGCTGCTGCTGTGCCTTCTGAGAGTACTAATTTTGTTCAACCAAAGTTAGCATTTGGTGTATCATGGGAGATAGAGTCTAGCCAGGAAGAGCATATAGGGAGAGAATGAAGATATGAGGTACCAAAATTACAACTCCTGTCAGCATTTCAGGATCTTGAGCAAATACAGATTAATGTTGAATTAAACATTTCATTTAGATTGTCCTAAAAGAAAACACAAAATTGCAGCAAAATCTAAATTTTCCCACAGAATGTTTGATTTTGTGGAAACTACATTTTTCATAAAAAAAGAAAACCCTAAGCCCAAAAACATTTTGATGAAAAATTTCCAGACAGCTCTGTTAACTACTGTGAACTGACTGTTTCTCAGTGGTTGTTATTTACAGCTGTATTTTGTCTACTGAATACCTGACTCCTTTTGAACCATTAAAGAACTGAGATTCATCACGGACTTTGTTCTACCTGCCACCTGAGTGATTCAGTCCCAGAACAGTTTGCACAAGAACTCCACTTAGCTGAGTGTGAAGCCGAGCTGGGAGACCTGAGTTAGCAAATTGTGTGCTTTACAGCTAAACTGATGAATATGTAAGCAACAGGAAGGGTAATGTGGAAAGACTGGTTGTACTGGAATAGAGAGATCAGTGACTAGTGTCTCATAAAGAACCTAATTTTCTACAAGGGATTTTTTTCCTCATATACAATTTGCTGTCAGTAGAGAATGTGGTGTTCTTTTATCCACTGAATACTCTTGATGGAGAGGCCATCACTGTGTATAAGTTCTGTCAGCTGAATTGCATTGATTCAATAAATATAAAATTGTCAGATACTGTGTTAATCTTTACAACATATCTATAGTCTGTCTAAAATTACTTTAGTAGAAGAAAATAGCAATCTACAAAAAAGGTTTTGCCATATTGGCATTTTAAAGTATCTGTAAATGACCAAAATGATACCAAGAAACAAATCTTTAAAAAACAGCTGTAGTAGTAGTGGCACTTCAGTTAATGATGGTAAAACTTCACTGTTAAAGCAGTAATGACAACACTTTGAAGTTATATAACACTTCTTATTTTCAAAGGGCTTTATAAACAATAACTACTTAACTATTACATTAACTAACTACCAGGACATTTAATTATGAAAAATAAATATGTGAAAACCTAGAAAATGGAAAGCTAGGCTTAAAGATCAAACTAAAGATAACAAACATTTAAAAATCAGAAATGATGTAGTTTAGGTTAAAACCTTTGTTAGCTGCATGGTATCAAGTTAAAGTGCTCGGTAAACTGCAGGATGTTTGGACTATTTCTTTAGTGAAAGTTATTTAATTTTACAGCACAGAAATGTCATGTAAATATACATGTCATGTTGTCCTTACATGTGACAATAAAAGAGTCGCTTAGTAGTACTGTGTAATTAGGCATAGTAATGTAACATTCACTCACATTTCATTCACTCACATTAGCATTAGAATTACATTGCATAGGCACTTTCCCATAGTAATGACTAGGTCACCTGAATGCTAAAATGCAGGAAATAAGCAAAATATTCTTGTTGCAGATTACATGGCATTGACTTACACTCACTCTACCACTCAATGTAATTTGACATTAAATGAAACCTTACCATAACCACTGCAAGACAATTCACAAAGAGTGTTCACCTTCTTGCTCAGCAAAACTGTATCAGTTCCACCAAGTATGGGGCCCTGAGCTTTGTGTCAGAGGATAGGTTTTGCTCTTTAGTTGCAGGCTATCCATACTGGTTCTATCTTTAATCACACTGTAGTCACAATAGCATCATTTGCACTGATGTCAATGGGAGCAAAATGAAGCCCAATATATGTGGCTTGTAACTTAGAGGCAAATCCTTCCCCCTCTTCCACAGAACGAAATGTCCCATGTGCAATGAAACTGGTGTGTTTATACAGCACAGGAGCAGGATTTGTGGGGGCTGAGCAGTTCTTAAGTAATATGGAGTCCATTTCTGCATGGGGCCCATGCAGGGGATGTTGGGCAGGTGGCCAGTGCACCCACCATCATGCAGATCCATCCATAATTTCTCCTTATGCAGCAACAAATGCACTAATAGCTGGAATCTGGATTCTTATTAATTTTCATTCACTCACTTATAGCATTTAAATTGCATTTTAATTGAACTGGGGAGGAAACTATATGACTGAGGTTTAAAATAGATTTCTACAAAATGTCCTTAATCCTTTTACATTTCTTTTTCTCCCCACATAAAGTAAATATAAACTGTCCCCAGGATGCCCTGCTTCCTGAGCTCTGTGCAAGCCAGAATGTAGGGTTTCTAAACTCCGTCATCTCCCTTCCCCAGAACGTGCTGGAACTCAGTGTCTATGATGAGGACGTTGTTACCCCAGACGATCACCTCCTCACTGTATGCTTTGATGTAGCTAAGCTTCCACTTGAAGAAAGAGTTCTTATGTACTTTAAGACAGATCCAAAGGTGAGGTCTGAAATAATGTGCAGGGCTGGGTGAGAGAGAGACACTTGTCTGTGGTTCCTGACTAAATTTCTAATTGTACTACTACTAATATTTTTCCTTCTTATGTCGTGGATTGGCCAGCTGTACCTCCACTACTTCTGAATTACTACACAATAAAACTGCTTCACCATTATACAGAGCAGTTTGGCCTCTCTGTGCTTGGCCAATGATACATGGCAAACATATGATACTCTTAGCAAAGACCCTTTCGCCTGATCATGCCACCAATAATGAACCTCCCTGATGCTATCAAACTCAATGGCTATAATTGGAAGCCCTTTGTGTCAGGTTTCCATTGACCCAGCAGCTATGTGACTATAACATCTAAATCTGGTGCTAATAGAAAATCAGTTAAAATTATATAGACTGACACATAATTTTGGTCACTTAAATGGGCATTTCATACATGAATTCCCGTTTTAAAAGGTAAATACAAGATCTGAATATATTTAAGTATCCATATTTGGATGACTGTGCTCTATAGTTCTCTACATTTGTGTAAATGATTGTTATAATATTATGTATAGGTGAAAAGAAGTGGCATCGGGACATCTAGCCATTATCTTTATGTCTAAACAATATGGCTGGCATATTGGTGCTGCTGATGCAAGTATAAGGAATGTTGGGCAGGTGAATTAAGAACGTCTCTTAATCATTCAGTAATACCAATTGTTTTTTAACAATTGAGGTCAAAGAAATGAGGTAACAAGACATAGAACCCTCTTAGACCTCCTCCCCTCCATATGAATAGCAAGAGAGGCTGCTGGGTAGCAGAACATCAAGAATATAAAAAAGTGAAGATGAAGCAAGCTGCAAAGTGACTGCATTACACCAGTAAATAAAAGTGCAGGTTAATTTGCAGAATGGTCATAGTGCTTAAAGCCAGAATGGACCATTAGAACATCTTATCTCAACTTCTATATTTTATAGGCCATTAAATTTTACCCATTGAGTCCTATATTGCATGCCAGAGGGTCAGATTTATATACCAAGTGTCCCTAAAGGGACAGAATAACATAGTGATTTGGCTCATTTCTATTTGTTTTATTTTTAGGCACAGGAGGAACTAGAGGTAGAATTTACCTTGGAGACCACGTAAGTGAAAAGCAAATTAATTAGAAGATGCAGAAATTCAGGGAGTAATAAAACAGCACTTGGAAACCTGCTTCATGTAATTGCTGCCTCCATAGGAAATTACCAGACCCATTCAGTTCAGAACTCTAGTAAATTTCCCACTGCAGTATATTTCCCACTGCGCTGTATATGGCTAATCTGTAGCAACGGAATCTGCCAGCTTCTTCTGTAATCTGACTATCAGTAATGTAAAAAATTCTTCCTGATATTGGCGAACCTAGAACATCAATTTGTGGCCTAGTTATATTCTTCAGAAAACGTTTGTATCCATTTTTTCATGTGTGCTTAAGCTTAGACTCTATGGAAAAACCCTTGACCTGTACCTGTAAAATGAATAGTTTGGTTAATTTTTCATCATATTTCATTTTGCACCAATTGACAGAAAATATTTGCAATGCCATTCACTTCCTGGGGATCCCCAACCTAAGGGAAAGGAAGTCAGAGTGAGCTTTCTATGAAGCATGCACAGCGTGCAGCAAGCCCAGGGCTGTAGGTTCAAACGAGGACAAAACCAAACCCAACAAGGATGGTGAAGGTAACAGTTAGAAATGGGAAAGCTGGCTTATTAAGCTGTGAATGCTTTGATTGCCTCCTACAGTATCACTTCATTCCCAGAAATGTTCTCCTTTGTATGTTAAATGTAGTAATAATACACAGTTCTTTTCATCCATTGATCTCCATATGACAGGTGGGAAAACTAAGGCATGGAAAGGTCACCCAGGAGGCTTGGAGCAGGCTTGGAATAGATCCCAAACCTCCAGATTGCTAGCCCATTGTGCCATCTACTGGCTTACATTGCTTCCCCATTTCAGCAGTGCTATGTGAAACTGTTGTCTGAGAAAATTATGCAATAGCTGTTACAATTTCTCCCTCGTCTACAGCAAATGCTTCAAATCAAGATACTTCCCAGCACATATTCCCTGGTAGGCTAGCATGATGTTGGTAGATTAAATGTGTGTGATGAGACGCGCTGTTCTTAGTGATAGAATTTAACTGGCTAAACTAAGATTCCAGTTTACATGATTCTGGAACTGATATAGCACAATGAAAAACTATGGGAAAATGAATGGTTATTTGATTTAACCTACTTGTGAAATATATATATTTTTTTCATTTTGTTTCCTAGTTCAGTACCTCCAGAAGCCATCATTACTAATGGAACACTAGTGGTAACTTTTTGTTCTGTGATCTCTTCTGTCCTGTAACAAAACTGGTAATACAAGTGGGACTAGAGAAGCTAGGAATGGCTCTGTAGTCAGCCGGCCAACACCCTCTCTTTCCTTTTGAGAGAGGCTGGGAGTGAAGTAATTAGGATTTCTCTGCTATTTAGCTGTTTCACTCTATTTCTTAGACTGTATATCTTAGAGTGTCCTGTGATTGGAGAGGCTATGACAGGAGCAGTTGTGAGTTCCCTCAAGCCAGCACTCCCCCCAAAAACCTATAGAGACCTACTTGCAAAAACGGGAAGTGGTACAACAGGGAACCCCCGCCCCCTCCCCAGCCAGTTCAGCCACCCGGTTCCTAGCAGTGGAAGACACTGAGGTAGGTTGTAGGTATCAGCCCTCCCAACAGAGCCTTTCACTTTTAATCATCATTGATGTACAGGCTTAATGCAGAATAGGTCAGGTTGGGAATGCAACCTCAGATGGAGACATTCTCTTTCATGATTGTTTTTTTAATTATTCTCTGTTACAGTCTCGTGCACTTTGCTGTTTGGAAGTTCAGGTGAATGAGAAAAAGCAACCTAAATCAAGTGAGGTTATTGCTTAATTAACTTGCTGCTAATACTTACATACTTGTGCTGTGATCGCAATCTGTTCTATAGGTCATTACAATAAATGCAAGGAATAACACAATATTTTCACATGATACAAACAGCTACTGAAAGATGCACGATCTATATTGCAGATTTCAATGACTCCATCACATACATCTACATGGCTATATGCAAATGCAACATATTAAAACGACACCATAGAGGTGATTTTAATCACAGAAATGTCAGGACATTAAGTGTTATGTTTCTATCATAACAGTCTTAACTTTATTCCCTTGCTCGAGCTGATGTATATTTGAACATGGGGCTTTCATTAGCAAACATTTCAAACAATTCAAAGCCCTAAATTTCTTCATCTTTAATTATACAAAGGAGTTCAGTTTCTTTGTACTATATTATTTTATTCAAGTATTATGAGATTATGCAATAAACAAATCCATTGTAGAGCATGCATGCCATGCTGTAGAACTGGTGCAAAACCAACCAACCAAAACACATAAAGTCAGGCACCTAAATCCAGATCTGGTGCCAGACCAATTTTCAGAAGTGTTGATAAGTCAGCATTTTGATGCTACAATAACATATGCAAGAACTATAGGGGAGGTTATTATAATACCAACTTATTGTCTGTGAAAGAACTAAACATAAAACAAATGGACCCAAAAATTAGTCTAGGGGTCATTTATCTAGAACTTTTGGCCAGTGTGTATGATATAAAATGCTATAGTAAAAATTTGCTTTACTGGAATATAGTGCACAAAAATACAAATACAATACAAATTTCCTTCTTATCCTAATTTCAGCTGAATCCCACCCATGTATATCATTTGTCAAAAATCTTGTTTGATTATCTGAGTCCCTTTGATTCAAATATGTTGATGTTTCCATGACATATTGAATAAATGAGCTACAGTGGTGAGCCACACTTAACTACTATGTCTAGTTTTTTTTAGTATGAGAGAGTCTGGTAGTTTTTAAAATTACAGACTCACACAACTACCCCTCTGAGATTTTGTAAACATTAAATTTCTGTTTGTGTAGCTGAGTAGTAGGCTTTTTCTAGTGGGGTTATGATTTTCTTGGCTTATTAGCTGGACTCTTGAGGTACATCTATACTGCAGGGCTATTTCAGGATACCAGAAATCCTGAAATAGCTACCCTGCATTTACACAAGCCAACCTTAATTTCAAAATATTTTTTTAAATAATGGGTGCACTATTTTGGCATCCTGGTAACCCTTGTTCCATGAGGGTTAAGGGATGTCTCGAAATAGCACATTATTTCAAAATCTGGCGCTGTGTAGATGTGCCAAATTTCAAAATAAGGTATTTCGAAATAGGTCCAAAATAAGATATGCAATTTGCATAGTGCAAATTGCGTATCTTATTTTGAGTTTAGGGTGCTGTGTAGATGCACCCTTGGAGACTATAGGGAAGTCCTAAATGTTTTCTTAAATTTGATCACATAAGCATAATTTTGCAGTCAGATAATAATAAAGTTCTCTGTGTGCCTTGTCTTTTTCCTTCAGAGAAAGACCTCTCCTTTACAGTGAAAGGTTCCTATGAAGGAACACAGGATCTTACATTGGGCCCCAATGCCATGATTAGCCCTTCAAATCCTACCAAGTTCCACTACATCAAGTGTATGGAGCCAACACTGAATGTTATGCTCCCGAAGAAGAAACATTATAATGCTGTATGTTATAGCTGTCCTTTATAAACATAATAGTAATATGTAGATAAAAGCATGATCTATTTTATGGGGGAGCAGTGTAACCCTTTCCTTTTATGCAAACACACTTTCTTTTGCCTCCCCCCCAGCGTACTTGTACCTACACTGTAAACAAGGGCTCCCCAATTGTGATGCTGAATTCACTTCCCATGGGAGAGAGAGTAACAGTAGCAGAGGTGAGTATCAGCTGTCAGCCTTTCGCAATAAACAAGATCCCATTAAAAAACATTGTAATATAGGAATAAAGGACTAGATTGCCCCTTCACACAGAGAAAGCTCGTAGGAAGAAACCTAGAGGGAGAAAATCTCTATAAATTTTTCCTCAGGCCTTGGAGAGGTCTTCTGCATGGAGCTTTGTGCAGCAGGGATGACTACTGCTTTGCTGGCTCCTTTCTCCATAGCAGTTTACGTGTCGCTAAAGGCGATGCTACCATTTGGCTGGGTTGCCTAGCACATGCTAACAGAGGATCCAGAGATGGGTAATACAGCTGGGCACAGCGCAGTGAAGGTTGTCACAAAGTCTGAGACCACTGGTGCTGTGTAAATGTATATTGAACTGTCCTTTAAAAAGAGGAGAGGCAGGTTGAACAGCTGAGATCCCCATTCCCCAGCCTGTATGCATTCTGTTTCCCTAATTTCTCAGCCCTGCTCTCTCCCCTCCCCCAGCTCTGCCACTCCAGACTGCACCTCAGTCTGAATTCATGGATTGAGAGGCAGCTGTTGTCCTTTTACTTCAGGAGGTGACCTACATTGAAGAGGATTTTTTGGTGCAACTTACATTATTTGTCTTGCCATCAATGCTAGCCATCGAGCTCTCTCTGTCTCAGAAGGGTGTATTAATACCAGCCTTTGTACAGAATATTGCACCAAACAAAAAATTATCCAGATACACAAAAATATGATGATGACGACTATAACAACCACATTTTTAAACAATACAGGCCAAGATTCACGTGCCACATACTGACACTTATTTGTACACACAAATCTGTCCACTGAATGCACAGGCAGAAAATGCATGTTTGAATGATTACCATGTGCAGTTAATTGTTTTGCCTGCATAAATGTTGACATAAGCACTTAAATATCTCCCCAAATATTACTTATAAGAAAAAAATTAAACTTTTCTTAATCTGGAAAATCTTTTTGAAACAAGCTGATATCAGATATGCTTCCTCAGGGAATAAACAAGCTTCCATATCAGTACTTCAGGCTCCCATCTTCTGCCTCAATCATGAGCCTTTCTGCAGGGCCTGATTTATTTTTATTTTATTTGTGCACTAATACACAATAGTTCTTTGACTGTCACAGTTTTGCAGTTATGAGAATGCATTTGGGAGCTGCAAGATTTCACTGTTCATTGTGTTTGGTTTAAAAATTGACTGTGCTCTGGAGCAAACTGTCTGGTGCAACTGAGTTCTCAGTCAAGTAAATTGGTACAGTTGTCTGAAACCATTTGGAAATATTGAGAAACTAAGAATAAATTCCACTAAAAACTAAATTAATGATTTTGAAGCTATATACATCTCTTGGGTTATTGGGGGACTCAATTTTGTGGCAGCTGTGTCTTGTTGGGGAGCAAATAAAACTCAGGTCTTGTCTACACTAGCCCCGCCATCAATCTAATATACGTCACTTCAGCTATACAAATAGTGTAGCTGAAGACGACGTACTTAGCATGGCATCTTGTGTGCACTGGCTATTCTTTTTGTCCTGGTGGAATACCAGCATTGATGAGAGAGAGCTCAGAGATTGATTTATTGTATCTAAGCAGACGCAATAAATCGATGGCTGGTGGATCGATTACTGCAACATTGATCTCCGGGGTAGCAGATACAAGCCCTCACTCTGAAAGCTGAAAGGAAGGAAAGAGAGTTTAAAACTATGATAGTACTTTCACCATTATATTCTTGTTTTTCAGGAGAAAAGATTTGATTTGAATGTGAAGGCAGAAGACTGGTAAGAGCTTTTTTCCTGTTTTATTGGATACCGGTGACATTGTTAGCCAAGCTTTTCCCCTACTGTTTTCTGTGTCTGTAAAAAAAAAACAAGTAAAAAAAAAAAAAAAAAAAAAAATGGACATCTTTGGATCGAAAACTAGAATGCATTTTTTAAATGAATGCAAAATACACCCCCAGTCTATAATACTGCATGTTAGAGAGAAGTTATATTAGATGGGCCTCAGTTTAAGAAAGCATCCCTATTCAGGAGAGCACTAAAGTACAGTAAACTTCCTATAATCCGGCACCTTTAGGACCCAGGGGGTGCCGGATTATCAGATTTTCTGGACTAGAGAGCGGGGGGGCTATGAGGGGTCTGGGGTGGCATCCTACCCCACCCCAAACCACTCATA